GGTAAATTCAGTGCAACATAGCATGCACTAAAATGAGACATCCAGTGATGAATGGTAGAAGGAAATATAATCTTTGGATAGCGCTCAAGGCCAGGTGGTCTGTGCTGAGAATAAATGCTGCATCTTCTGCCAGTGCTACTGACAAACATCACTGCTCCTCATCTGTATTTCTCCTCAGTAGAAGTGCCATTCCTGGGTGGTGCCTTTGCTAGGGTGATGCACAGTTCACTGGTACTGATGTTCTGCATGCTCAGTTCATACACAAAACAAGCTGGTAATTGCTTTCTGGTGAATGAAAATTGTCAAATGTTCCCTTCACATCATCCTCTGCCCAGCTCTGCCAGGCTCAGCAGATTTCTCTACTCAAGAAGCCACTCAAGAATACAGCAGTTAGATTTCAAATGGCTTGAAACTGCCTGCACATCATAAAAAAAAACCCCTCTAAATGTGGTAGCAATGGCATTTTCTTTTGGCTGTTTTTACACAGGTTTATTTCAATCCAAATGTGTGGATATTTTGCTTCTTTTGGATGTAATGCAGTGGATACTCACATCTACCATAGAGAACCACTCTAACACTCTGCTGAAAACTGGGAGCATGAACTAGACACCAGAGTTGTACAAAACTTTGGACAAAGTTGTACCGAAGTACAGCAGAAGTTACCTAGAGAAATTTTGTTGCAGTTAGTCGTTAAATATATGTTTATCATATTCAGACATAAGTATATTGGTAAGAAACAATAACAGGTCATATAACAATATGTCTAAATTGCCCAAGTATAGTTATATCCAGATATGAATAGTAATTTAAATGTGTATTTGTGTCCCTACATATGTCAAAGCACAGAGATTTGTGTTCATTACTACATTACTAAATATGTTTACATTAATAAAGAATTATATATTAATTTATATTTATATTTATATTTATATTTATATTTATATTTATATTTATATTTATATTTATATTTAATTATATGTATTTATATAATATATATATATATAGTAGTCAAATATCTATGTATCCATCAATTTGATGTAAATGTCATTAAATAACATGTATGCATATGGTGGCTCTTTTGCCATGAAAATCACAATATTTTTTATACTCTGAGGATAAAAGGGAGTACTGTTTCTGTGCTCCTTTGTGTCTTTTTTTTGTCTGTTTTTTTTATTCTTTTAATTCCCAAAAGATATTTTAAGAATGCTTGAGCATGATTCTACTGTAAAATTGTTTTGAGATCCAAGATGGTATTTTGTTTATCACCAGGCCTGGGAAGACCCATTTTTTTAATATCAGTGTCTAGATAATGTGCATTTAGATGGGAGGAATGAAGAAATTGCTGTTAGGGGGCATGTTGCATTATTCAGTGATACTGACCCTCAGGTTTGATAATCAGCTTGAAGTTGTGCCTTAGCTCAGAAATGTTGCTTCCTTCAGCAGGACTGCAGCAGCAAAACATCTGCCATCAACGTGGCAGACATTGTGCCACACCCCTACCTGTGCCACCAGAGCCTGAAGAACTGCCTAAAAGGAATTGATTCCCAACATAGATTCAAATCATTGTGGAAAATGTATAGCGAAAGTTGCTTGAAATTCAGATCCCAGCATGGTTTTATTGAGGCTTGTTTCCAAAAGTACATTGGACACTGAAAACCATACATGCAATTGCTTTTTCAAAGCGGTTTTTTTAAGTATTTCATTGAAGAAATATTTTTTTTAACAGAAATAAAAGATAGGAACAAGTTTTAAACGCCAAGAACCTGTGGTAAAACCTGTCTTTTTGGAATTTTTTATAGTGCAGGTTTCTGATACTGATTCTTACAGTGATTCAAACATTACTAATGTCTCTATAGTTGTCAACTTCAGCTTTTTCATTGATTTCACCATAATTTTTCTGTTCAACATCTGCCTTTCTCTTTAAGTCTTTAAAAAAATCATTATAGATTATATTAAATATGGAAGTTCAACGACTTAAAATATTTCCATGCTAAATCCCCCCTCCACCAACAAAACCCCTGGAAACCAAAAAGCTTGAAGAAGTTTCCACTTATGGAAATGAACATTCTCAGTCACACCTTGTGTCAAAGTCATACAGGGAACACAGGCACTTAACTTGTGGTATGGCTTGAAAATCTACTTTCACTAAACCTCTTTGTTTAGCTGTTTTAATATCTTTCATTTTAAGTATAACATCACTTTTCCTTAAAACTTTGTAATCCAAGTTAAGGTTGCTCAGAATTTTTCGTCATTTGTGTTATGCCATTCCAATTGGGAACAGCTATAAAGAACGACACAAACTCTCAAGGGAGTTTCAACACGAGAATTCTCTGGTTTATTACTTCAGGCCTGCTTTTTATAGACTGGTACGTGGAAGGTACAGAAAGGAAACTCTTATTGGTTAGCAAAGTGCTACATCACCATCACTGGTCAGGGGCACACTACCCCCCTGACTCCCTCCTGCAAGGGAAAACAAGAGGACAGATAAACAGCAGCTGGCAGTTGTTTTCTGTCTCTGAGGATTGTTTTGAAATCCTCCTTTGAATTTCTCAGGCTAGCTTCTCAGGCAGGACTGAGAGGCCATGGGCCTGCAGTTTCTGCAGCTCCCTGCAGCCTGTTCCAAAGCTAGCATCCATAGTGGTTTTTTGGTTTTGTTTTTTTGTTTTTTCTTTTTGTCATGGAGTGTGGTTTTTGGTTTGTTTTGGTTTGGTTTTGATTTTTGATTTTTTTTCAAGATGGAAATATCATAAAACCTTAAAAAACATGTATTATCTATGGATTTAGGGAATAATCTATGACTACACGATGTTTATAAAAAAATTAAGTATCTACTCTGAAAAATATTTTTTCACTTTCATGTCTTAAGAAATTTGGAATATAAAATAGATTGCAATTCCTGTGTATATCCTATATGCCTGAATTCATTATAATGTTTTTGTCTAAAAAAAAAAAAAAAGGTTGTTTTGCAGCAGAAATTTGTCTTGTTTAGTAGTACTTTTGATAGTATTGATATATGCACTCTGGAGCACATTCATTTAAATGGAATAATTTCCTGTACTTCTTCTCTCACTGATTTTGTAATGAAGTAACGTCTTCTGACTATAATATTTTGAAGACCTTAGGAACATTATGAAAAATGCTTTTCACTGTCTTATTTCAGAATATCCACTGATCCTAGCATTTATTTCTTATTATTGTAGCAAGCAGTGAAACTTCAGTTTGGTGATGGCAAATTTCAGGTTTGAAAGCCTTTGCAACACTTCTGGTTCCAATCCAATGTGTAATCATCACTGCCTTTAGCCCTTCCCTCATGCACTTAATTGCTGTTTCTTTTTATTACTCTCTTCCCTGGATCAATCTCAGTTCCTCAAACTGGATTTAAGAACATTGGCAGCCACAAAATATGAGTAAGATTAAATTAGTTTGGAATATTGTGCATCTTCCTGCCTATGATGATACTGATGGCCTGAGAAGGAGACATATCAAGGCAAATTCTATCTGGTGTACTTATTCAAGAGTTTGCCCTGTAACTTTGCCTCACAGCAGCAAAAGATGCCCTGAGCTGCGGCCCACAGCAGTGTGTGGCAGTGTCAGGGCAGCCCCTAAAGTGTGGAGGGCTTAGAGATTATGTCACCATACCCTTAATATGCCTTTTCACATCCAGCTGGCCCTATTGATCTGTGCAGAAAAGACAGGCTCCTCAGGAGATGAGACAATTCTGCCATATCCCTTGTCTTCACTTGCACTGTTACTTGCTTTGGCAGTTCATTGTATAGTTTGTTTTCCTGTGGGTATGTCGAGTTTCTGAGCCATGGAACAAAGAATTGTGTGATCTCTCATAATCTTGTGTTCTCTTGAGATTCAGCTTGCCAATAGGACATAATAATCTCCCAGCTCAGGTGAGACTTCCAGAGCTGAACATTCCAGACTCCACATGAGTGGTGCAGTTGACATGGGGATATCTTGAGAGATCTGGGCAAGCTTCAGAAGTGGCCTATGGAAATCCCATGAGATTTAGGAGGACCAAGTGCTGGATCTGGTATCAGCCCAGGCTGGGGATGAACAGATGGAGAGCAACCCTGCCAAGAAGGACTTTGGGGTGCTGGTGGATGAGAGGCTGGACATGATCCAGTAACATGTGCTGCCAGCCCAGAAAGCCAAACATGTCTTGGGCAGCATCAAAAGACATGTTTGTCCATGGGCAGCAGAGGACAGGGAGATTCTGCCCCTCTGCCCAGCTCAGGCAAAACCCCACCTGCAGTGATGCCTGCAGCTTAGGAACCCAGCACAGGAAGGTCCTGAAGCTGCTGGAATGAGTCCAAAAGAGAGCCATGAACATTATCAGAAAAATGGAACCACTTTTCTGTGAGAAAAGGCTGAGAGAGTTGGGGTTGTTCAGCCTGGATAAAAGGAGCTTCAGAGTGAATTTATTGAGATCTTTCAGTACCTGAAGGGGCTACATGAGAGCTGCAGAGGAACTTTTGACAAGAGAGGGAGTGACAGAATAAGGGGCAAAGGCTTTGCATTGAAAAAGTTTAGATTTAGATCAGATATTAGGGAGAAATTCTTCCCTGTGAGGGTGGTGAGGCCCTGGCACAGGTTTCCCAGAGAAGCTGTGGCTGCCCCATTCCTGGCAGTGTCCAAGATCAGGCTGGACAGGGCTTCAAGCAACCTGGGATAGTGGAAAGTGTCCCTGCCCACGGTGGGATAGGTTGGAATTAGATAACCTTTGGGATTCCGTCCAACCTAAACATTCTAAAATTCTATGGTTTAAAATGACCCAGTGTAAATGTGATACTAGGAAGGAAAATACCTTCCAGAGTAAAGCAGGGTGTGCCCTAAGGAGGAGCTGGTCTGTTTTGGAGCACTGAACTGGACCAATCAGTGCTGAGAGAAGGGTTTCCTTTTGTCAGATAGATGATCCTAAAAAAGGCAGTGTTTGAGCATGGGCTAAATTGATGTCATGGGGACATGGGAAATGATGGGACGATTCTCTCCTCTTTCTGCAGGATATTGAACATTACTCCTTCCTTAACCTTTATTCCATGCAGAGGATAGGGGAATGCACTCTAATCCAAGCAAAAATTGTGAATACTTCAACCCATTTGCTTTGTACAACATAAAAGCCAGTCCCTAAAACTGCTGGAGTGAAAAAATGTTCTCAGTCTGCACTAGGTTCAACAGGTACCACAAGATCTGCTGCTGCTGCTGAGCTCAGTGTTGCCTTTGGGTATGTGGCTACCTGGGATTCAGGGAATTGTTCCGAGGAAGACAACATTTCCTGGTGCTTCTGGTGTGGTTCCTGCAGGAAATCACAAGCAATAAAAGCTCCCATGCTGTGTGCAAGGCTAAGAATTTATACCAGGAAACTCAAAGGATAGGGGTGTGGAAGGAAGGTTTTCTGAATATCATCATTCTGTCAGTCTCTACACTAGAGAGATTTAATTGACCGTTCCTTAGTAAAAAGTCTTTTCTGATCAGAAATATATCCCTTTGATATGAAAGGTGATTTTGAGCAGGAGTTCTAGGGTAGTAAAATCTTACTAGTTATTTTACTTGCAAATTTAATCCCTTCTTTAATCCAGAGGAAGTATCTGTGTGCTTTTTGCCTTGTGCCCTTTGCAGAACTGTGTTGTGCTTGTGTGTCTTCTTCAGTATTATTTCTCTGCACTGATTATACTTGTAATATTCAGCCCTTTTGTATTTTGTACAGGTGTATTAGGAAGAAGAAAAAACCTAAAAAAACCCTGCTTTCATCATAAAGAAAATTATTTTCCCTGAATTTCCCCTACAGCTAATGGAGGAAAATAAGTCTGTCCAAGCAATCATTCCACAGTGGGCAATGGACAAGGTGTTCTTTCTAGGGAGAAATTCTAGGTTTAGGAAAAAATAGCACTACTTTTTTAAAGATGAGTTGTTTGAAACCAGCTGCTCTGTTAAAAAACCCTGTCTCATGACACAGAATCAAGGCAGTTTATTGAGACTTGTCATGATTCACTAGCCTGTCTGGACATTTACACCTGGTGATAGAAATGGTTCAATTTCTCTCCTTGCTTAGTATATTTCTTTAAAAATAATCTGCAAGAGATAGCAGGTCATTTGTGTATTCAGATTCAGATAAGTATTTTCAGAAGCAGGCAGAAGGGTTTGTGAGAATGTGAACAGAAAGAACATATTGGATACAGCCAGTGCCTATAGACAGCACTGTTTCTTTCTACATTTTAAAAGAAAATAAAAAATTAAAACACCTACTGAATGCCATATGCTCAGACAAGAGGTTAAAGAAGCTGCACAAAAGCATAGTACAACTCCAATGAGGTGACTCAGAAGGTTTGGTTTCAGTGATAAACAAAATAAATTCCTTTGAGGCCAATTAGTATTTATTGAAATAACTTATGAATAATGCATTATTCAACAATGTTTTGGAATATTTAGTTGAGTTAATATGGATATAATTACCCAGTTTCATACTAGAGAAGTGAGCTTTTAAAGACTGACAGTTTAAAATATTTAGAAAAGAATTATCGGAGTCTGATGGAAAGCTTGGGGAGGGAGAGATAGAGGACAGTGTAACATCACAGTTTCTCATACCTATCCCCATCATCTTTACTTTGAAGCAGAAACTGCAGTGAGGTAAGAGGTTGGAAAAAGTCTGAGGAAGGCCTGTAACAGCACTGAGCATGCATTAAGGAGCCAGATTACTCTGAAGAGGTAAGTCAAAAATGAGTTCAGACCATTCAAAACTTGGGCTTATTTTTCAAAGTTATGCAGCAGTATGATCTGTTGAAGTCACCTTAAAGAAAAGGTGTCTGTCTGTGTGTTTGTGGTGGTTGGTTAATATATCCCAATAGTATTTTAATTACAAGCTGTGTTTGGCAAATGCAAATGAGAATGTTGCAGACACCAAGACATGTCTGTTCATGATTCCCTTTAGTCCACAGGTTAAAAAACAGGCCATGTCAAGGACCTGCAATGCCCACACTCTCCCTGTTTGTTGAATGTATTTATTTCTAATAAAAACAGCAGAACCTATTCAGAAATATACCAATATATAATATGGAAATATAAAATCAGTATGGAAACAATGAAATAAACCACTTGTGGCATAAAATGGACATAATTCTTCTGCAACTTGCCTAACAGAAAAAAACAGTATAAGGGACAAAATGCAACTTACTTGCTAAATGTGTTTCCTGTGCTGATTGCTGCCAGGCTCTGGTAATAAATGTCAGGGTCTGGACTTGATACTGAACACTTGTGTCTTTCTTGCTGTTCTTCTCTGTCATTTCCCTGAAGTTCTTTGCCTTTACTGCGTGAGTGGAGGTAATAGTGGAGAGAGGGGGCTGAATCAGGAATTGCTATTACTTGGAGGAGAGGGGAAGAACAGGAGGTGAAGCTGTGCAGACGCACTGAAGAAGAAAGTTTTTTGCCTGCAGAAAAGAAATTAATTCTTGTGATATGTGACTAGCCAGGATTCCTTTTTCCCCAATCCATCCTGTGTGTATTGTTACCCTACTACCCCTAGAAATACTCTATCCCATACAGCCTTGGGCATTCCATGGCATGGAGAGATGTATTATAGAGCAGAGATGACCTGATGAGTTTAATACAGCATTCAATTGCTGCTCCTGATTTTGGATTATTTATAGGGAGCACAAAGCAAGTCCTCCTGTCCAGACTGTCAGCTTGGAGGGACTGGTAAGAGCCATAGAAACAGAAACATGCAAAACCAAGAAATTTTGATAGGTTTTATTTCCACTCCCCGAAGACAGAATTTCAACAGCTTCCAGTAAAATGAAAAATGGACAAAAAAATTTTCTTATCCTTAGTCCGTGTCATCTCTTATGATCAAATTTGATCTATTTATGAAAATATAAACCCCACAATTTAGACATTGTAATTTTGAACTACAAAGGACTGTCACTTAGAAAGCATTGGTATAAATTGTTTAAGTTTGTTGAAATGGGAAATCTACTCATTTAAGTGCTTTCCTGTGAAAAGTTTTAAGTTCACAGATTCCATATTTTTTAATGGAAAAAAATCTTTAGGAGATGAACCCACAAAATCAGCTTTCTGAGTAGTATTAATTCACAGATAGTTGCAACATAGACTGGCCACTCCCATTTCAGTCAATGAGAATAAGGGCAATGGTTCGCAGCTACAGTTACAGCTACATTTGCTTATTAATATTTTTAGGCTGCCAGTTTAGTCTGCATTTTCTGACAGCATATGTGATGTCAGACTTCAATATTGTGAGAGACCTGAATTGTAGTAACTCCTTTTTTTCTTTTTTTTTTTCTTTTCTTTTTTTTTTTTTTTTTTTAAATGCATAGATTTTTTCTAAGGTATTTTCTGTATGCTCACTGCTAAAGATGTAGGAGGACTTTTTGGTTGTCAGGCTCTCACCTATGTGATTTGCATACTTCAAACACAGAATTTGCACATTATTGCAATATGATGAGTCTTGGATTTTACTTTTGCAAAATCACTGTTTTATTTTGGTGAGAAATGGGCCATAAAGTAGGGATAATCAAGATTCAGTACTTAAATGCAGCTAATTTAAGGTTGCTGTGGAGGAATTTTGACTAATTCCCTCTTTAGGTTGTGCACAACCTGGTGAGTAATGCAAAATGAACATGGATAGAGAATGACTATATGCTAATAAAAACTCTGTTTGCATGCCCTGCCAGTTCTCTGCCTGCCTTGCCTGTCATGCTCCTGTGCTAATGAATTGGTTGCATCCCACCACACACCTCAGCAGTGTTCTGAGTGCTCACGCTTCTGCTGATGTGTAACCTGTCCTAGTTAGAGATAAAGGGCTGGCATCAGCAGAATTATAATCACCTGCAAGAAATCAAAGCAATGGTTAGCTTTGCTGAACCCTTAAACTTGCTCACATTGTAGTTCTCTTGTCATCAAAAGTTATTTCTTTCCTGTGTTACCTCACCAGCATACTGCCTAGTAAAAGATATTTGTAAACTAGTATCTGACTTCCAATATCAGATTTCTTGCTCACATTACAGAGGCTTCAGCACAGACTGTTGGGAGAGGTTTTGATGCAGATTTCTGAACAGGTGTTCTACCTATCAGTACAAAAAATCCAGAGACACGGAGATTGATTTGAAATCCACTATACACTAATTTCCTCTAGATATCAGAAAAGACTGAATCCAGGGGTAAATCTTTCATTGTAAATGCAAAAATAATTTTGTGATCTTCTGGGGTAATAATGTCTTCTAAGACTACATCTGCACCATCATTTTTTCATGCATTAATTGTGGCCAAATATTATCTAGGATGTTAAAACATTCCAGATGATTAATAGCTTTATGGATTTTGGCTATACTAATATTTATATTCCATATATTTTCTGCCTTTGCAGAAGGAATAATTTGTGAGGGTGGGAAACTACCAGATGAGCGAGCGAAACTTCAAATTCTGGTCTGTGTGAATCCCTGGCACAGCTTGGCTCTTGGTAATGGCTGTGTTACAGCAATTTAGAAGTTATCCATATTACACAAAAAACATTTATTTACTACTTTATGTACAATGGTAGCATGGATGGATTGCCAGAACCACATCTATGGCACTAGAAGAAATGGAGATGTACAAAAATAATGTGTACTCCCCATTCCAAAGGGCTCACCATTCCAAGACCCAGTAAGGTAAGAGGGAACTTTTGAGAGAGGGAGTTTTGTTTGTGAGGTTGCAGGTTTGTAAAGCAATAGGATATTTCATCACAGCCAGTCAGTAAAATATTAAGAATCCTTATGAGTAATACTTCATTTACATTTTACAACATTGTATCCCTTTTGCCTATTCAAATTACTAACATAATCTGGACACAATGCACAGATGATTTTTGAAAAATTGGTGTGAATAGTTCAGTGCAAGCCAGAGCACTGAATATTCATTCACTGGCTGTGTTTGATGACCGACAGAAATCAGCAGTAGCACCTTCAGGATGAATGCCAAGGTGGTCTCTCCCTTCTGCACTCTGGCAGTATAAAAATTACCTTGATGAAAGGAAACACTTTAAATGGTGGCACTGAGTTCTCTAAAAGAGCCTGAAGAGAAACGTAGCAGGATTTATATACAAAAGACAGATGGGACTGTGTCACATGAAAAGGGGAGATTTCCTCAGACCAGTCTGTCAGTGTCCCATCACAGGGACCCTTCACTGAACAGCCCTACTGGATTGGAGGGGTTTTGATTGACCTTTACAGGGACACAACCCCAAAAGCATGAGGGAGACCCCTCAGTGGGTTTCTCCACTTTTTTTTGAGTTTGTTCCCCACTGCCAGTGCTGCCAGTGCCTAGAAGGATCCCACAGTTAGTAAAAACATGTTCAAAGCACAGTCAAACTCTAAACTCCAATAAAGGTATTCAGCACACACAGAGTTCTCCCCCAACAGGTATCCACAGGGCACAAGGCAGGTTCAGCCTATTGCCTGAGCTCAGCAGTTACAATGCAATCTTCCCTAATTTTTTCCCACTCTTGACTTATTTTTATACTACATACTCATATTTAGGTGGAGTTTGAGTGACTCAGGTCATACATACCTGTGTTCCTGATGGTGTCAATTTCTCTCACCTGGCTGTCAGACACAGTCAATGAGCCACAGAGCAGGTGCCCAGTGAGGAGTGGTCAGACCCTGGGGCAGGTAATGCTGGGGTGGAGCGGTGTGTTAACATCACAATTAGGTTATAAGGAACCCAGCTCATCCAAGGAGAGTGATTCCACACCAGCTGCTGGCTCAACAGCAGATCTCTTTCTCTCTGCCCTCGCTAACAGTTACTGTGGGATTTATCAGCTGCAGAGAACCACTGAATTCCCCTCCCTGTGAAGATTGCAACAGAGCCTGGCCACCCACCCTCCATTCCATCCCCCTCAGCAGGTGCTGTGGATGCAGATTTTGGGTGTGGCAGTCATTGTGGCATGGGTCTCAAGCATTCCAGACACTTTCCATCCAGGGACAGCAGCTGTAATTACTCTGTATTTTCTGTACTGTTGTAACTTCTGTAAGGATGCGTGTATAACGTCTCAGTTTCCTTTGATTTTACCTTCAGCCATCTTTCCACTGTCAAAGCTCTCACCACTGGCCTACAACTTTATGCATCTAAATTGATAATAAAAACTCCTTTTAACTTGGAGAACTATCTGCAGGCTGAGGCAGTAGAGTGTATTTATGCAATGCTTTCTTGCAGCCATGGCAGAGAGCTGGAAATGCCAGGAAGGGGAACTATCCAGTTTCACTGTGGTTATCCATCTGCATTCCCTCTGGTGGGCTCCATGCTCATGTTTCCAGTTGAGGGGGACATCCAAGTGAGCATCCTGACTGTGAGCAGGGAAGAGAGCTCACTGCAAGAATTTGGTCTGGTCTGCTCTGTGGGGCATAGTAGAGGTTGATGTAGCTGACAGAGGCCATCAGAGAGAGGAAGCTCAAGAGAGAGGGAGGGAGAGGCTGACTGCCCTTCACATCAGTTTTCATTGCTGTTTCAGTCTTGCAATTTCTTTTAACACTGTTTTGCCTTCTTATACCAGTATTTTTATTTTATTTTATTGATTTTATTTTGTTTTTTATTTTATTTTGTTTATTTTTTCCCATACTACTTGAGGGAATAAAAACATTTAAGTATAAATTACAACAAGCATTGGGAAACAACCTGCAGGGACCAACTGGGCTGTAATGCAGCACAGCACAAGCACAGTCTGTGCTCATGACAATTTACAGCACAAACAGGCAGAGCTGGTGCTTCATGATAGGGCTTGTAGAATCACAGAGACCTAAATTATCCTTCCCCAAATTAGAAAACTCCCACATTGCAAAACTGGAATCATTAACATCACCTAGTACAACCAGTTGGATAATGGACAGTACACAGTTCAGCACTTGCATATGAAGAAAAACCCCTTCATTTCTGTGGATAATACATTTTAACACTTAGTAACTTTCTTGCATAGAGTCAGAGCCTTTCTTCAATTCTAAATGTTTTCCATTTCAGTTTTCAGCTCTTGACTGTTGATGTGTATTTTTCTGCTTGCACAGGAAGTCGGTGGCTGCAGATGGGACTTTGCCAGGAGACACAGTGATCCATTTACCATTCAGCTCTCCTGCAGATGAACGGATGTTAATTCTACAGTGCAATCTAGAGAGCAATGGCAAGTTAGTTAACAATTAGTCTTGCCCTATTTCAGGTCTGACTCTGCAACTTATCTTAGGAACACCAAAAGACAGACAAAAAGATCTCAAATCAAATCATTCCATGCCATATTCTTAAAACCAAAATTACCTATGGTAACATCAGCGTAGGGTTACACTAATCCTGAGATTATGAGCACCTGTCATGCCCCACAAGACATCACTGAGAATTTTGTGTTCTTGATTAGGAAAGTGGCCTCCAGACACCTTCTGATTGCTTTGTTTCTGTTGCTTCTTTTCGTTCAGAGTAGACTTTAAAAATCAGTGCACTTAAAATGTTAGTTTCATGATTATATCTTGCCTTTACTCATAACACACAACAGGGCAGGTTGCTGTCTTGTTGGCAAAGACTAGTCAAGCAGAAAAGGGCTTGTAGCTAAGACTTGCCTCACTCGCCTCACGTATTTCTTCCTTGAACAGGGTGAAGTCCAAATCATATTGTAACTGTAAAATGGCAACTTCCAGCCACATCACAGGCCACCCTTTAAGGGCTGAACCCCCATTTTGGTAAAATCAATGAATCCTGCATTATGTGATAATTACAATCTTCACCCTGTTTTTAGATGGACAGGGAGAAGTTAGATATTCCACCCAAGACAGCACTTTAAAATGCCTTTATGGTAATCTGAGAGAATTGTGCAGCTCCAAAAGGAATCTCATACTAACAGACAGCAGGAAGAACTGGTCCCTGGAAGAACCTCTCTGTCCTCTGATTCAGAGAGCTTATAGAAAACCGTGGAGAAGATGATATGGGGTACTATTAGACAGTACAGCCAGCATGGGTGTACAGAGGGAAAGTCCTTTTTAACTGATGTGATCTCATTCTAAGACAGAGTCATCCACCCATGGATGGAGGAGAAGTGGTGGATATAATTTTCTATATTTAATGAGGTTTTGATACTGTGTCTCACAGCATCCTTCTGAACAAGTAACCCAGCTGTGGGATGAGTGGGTTCACGGTATTCTGGGTGAAGAACCATCTGGATTTAGATTTTTAGTGAAAGGGGCTATGCCTGACTGGTGACAAGTCACCAGTGATGTGACCACACGGATCAGTTCTGGGTCTGGCTTTGTTCAATATTTTCACCAGCAATCAGGATACCAGAACTGAATGCCCCATGTGCTGCTCATCCCAAACTGGGAGGTGCTGTGACTCTCATGAGGGAAAAGAGGCCTTGCAAAGGTATCATTGGGAGGCACTGGGAACAAAAATGAGTGTGGAGGAGGGCAGCGTAGCCAGGGACAGGGAATGCCTATCCTTGGAGGAGCAGCTGAGCTCTCTGGGTTTTCTGGCTGGGAGAAGAAGAGCTTGAGGGGCCACTGCTCTCTGCATCTTCCTAAGGAAGTGCTGTGGACAGGGAGATGCTGATCTTGTCTCCTAGAATCATAGACTAGTCTGGGTTGGAAGAGACCTTCAAAGGTTTCCTTGGGATCCAGTGATGGGGCAGGAGTGAGTGATTCAAAGATGCACCAGGAGAGATCCAGACTTAACAGAAGGAAACATTTCTTTAGGGAAAGAGTGGCCAAACACTTCAGCAGTCAATGGCTCAAACCTATAACTCTTTCAGAGGCATTTGGACATTGTCCTTAATAACCTGTCTTCACTTCTGTTCAGCCATGAAGGAGTCAGGCAGTTGTATCAGATGGTCTTTGTAGGTCCATTTTAAATGAAAAAGTCTTAATCTTTCAGTGTTAGAAAATTCCTTTTAGGGAATCACCTGATGCCAGTCATGGTGTTGTCTGTCCAGTGCAGATTCAATTAAGGGGATGACAGCCATGCTCTGGATTTTTGGCTGGTGGAGAATGAGTGGATTTAGACATTAGAATTAGTGGGATTAGGAGAAAGAATAGAGGAAGAACTAGAAAAGTGGAGTAGGAGCTGTTGTAGATTAACAGTAAAAATTCAGTTATCATCAGTCATTTTGGACAAGTCACACCTGGAACCAATGGAAAATCTCCATGAAAATCTCTCTGAGGACTTTGTCATTATGACTGTTAGCAAATGCTTTCTCATGATACACCTAAAACTCATCTGCTGAAGTTTATGTCCTGCCCTTCTCACCACCAAAGTGGCAAAGAAATCCCTCTCTTCCTTTTAGCTACCCTTTACATATTTGCAAGTAATTTCATTGACTGTGTTCTTGCTTCTAGGATCTGTAGGCTGCTTGAATAAACCAAGGCCTTTCAACATAAAATGGGAAAAAGAGAAAAATCTTCTCTGCTTGAATAAAACTGATGTCTCTCATTGTTTGAAGTGGATCTATTTCCTGCGCCTCTGACTTTGTGGAGGATACTGTCCTTGGATAAGTCAGGTAGAGATGAAATATGGAAGATGTCTTGAATTTTCTGAGATCCTGCTGATTGAGGGCTTAGATCCTAGAGTCAACCACTGTTGTGGCAGAGTTGCTAGAATGTTGTTAAGTTAGTTTATGTTAGTAGTTGATAGCTTGAAACAGATCTTTTCCCCTCTTTTACTTGTGATTTCCCCCCCAGCTTCTCTTTCTTCTAATTGTTTACCTGGAGTCAAGTTACCATGGTTACTGAAGTTTTTCTTCTCAGCTCCACGGTGAGGAGCTGGATGGAGTGGAGAGAGGACCCTGCTGACATTTCCAGATGCTTGAAATTTCTTTAGCCCAGGAAAGCACGGGGCTGGGAGAAGAGAGATCCTTCTTTCCAACACGGAAGTTTGTAACTCTGTTTTTCCTGTTCCAGAATGCCTCTGAGCTATGGAAGCTGACCTTGCCTTCCCTTTCTTTCCCCACTGTGTTGCCCCCGCCTCCCTTTGCCCCTCTGTGGAGAATACTCCTACACCTTTGTGGGCATTTGAAGAAGTTGGTGTCTGTTATTTCTTATCTTGGTGTGTGTAACCTTGATTTGTAGAAAGTTTGTAAGATGTACTAACTGAGAAAAATAATTGGTCCTCTCTATGATGTTCCCTCCCTCCGAAAAACCCTGATAAAAGAGACCCCCCAGACCCCAAATCCTTTGTCTCTCATCCTTTGGATTCCCCTTCACAGAAATAAACTGTGGAATGTAACCCAGGGAGAGAGTCCACCCCTGATTTCTTCACTCACTTTATAGATTTGAATTCTTGAAGAAAATCAGTGAACCCCACAAACATATGCTGGCTCGAAACCCAAGTGAAGAGAAACCTCATCACTGAGCTAGCTGGGCCACACTCAGGAAGACTGAGTAAAACCACTTAAATCAACAAGGAAGTATCTGTGTTTAGCTGAATAAGGCAATGAGAAACATGAGCTGAGCTTTTAGCATTTTGTTTTAGACAGCTTCCAGAGGTCTTGCTGAGGAAATCTTTCTGTTCATTTTGCATCTTTCCTGTATTTTACCATTAGAGACAGAATTTAGGACCAAAAATTCCTTGCCTTGATATCTGCGCCAGATGAGGGTCCAATATTTAATTCTTTTTCTATGTCACCTTCATTCTTGTGCATTTTAAGAAACTTCCTTCCCCCCAGTCTCTGCTCCAGGCCACTGCATAGACACATACACCCTGCCTTGCTCT